AGCTAAATTTGTTGCTAGGTGCATTTGGAAGAAAAAGTTGCTAGGCTAGTGTGAAAAGTTGCTAAATTTAGCAACAAAATTGCTAAGTTGGCAACACTGGTCCTGGATGAGGCTGATGAGTGTGGTGTCATCTGTGAACTTCAGGAGCTTGACAGAGGGGTCTTCTTTAGAGGTGCACTCATTGGTAATTAGAATATAATAAAAAAAATACCATGGTGTATGTGACTCAAACTATATTACCATTATATTATTCACAAACAGCGGCTTTGAAAGTCTCTTATTATTAACTATGACTAAGGACTTTTATTTTGAAATTATTCTGTTGTTCCCGGAAGTAAGGCAGTAATTTAGGTTTCATTCTCAGACGTCATTGTTGTTTAACTCGTTTCCCTTCTAATACTCGTTCAATGTAATTCTGTTCAGCGTTTATGGCATATGGTTCAGATGACACGATCTTTCGTGTGAATCTGTGTTATTGAGTGGTGTGTGTGTCTGCTCTGAACACATGAGTGTGTCTCTGGTTGTGATCAGACTCGAGCTCGCCGATCAGTCTGACTCCCCGCACGGGTTTCAATACTGCGCCGGTGAGTTTCACTCCTTTACTGTTACGTATCTGAGACTGACTTTGTTTACCATGGTACAGCATGAAGGCCATGTTCATATACCACGGTATTATCATCATATTATCATCAGTGTGCGAAAAGGTATTGCCATTTTTTTGGACATGTCATCAGGTACCATGATATTGTTTGAAGCACTTTGAACTGCCATGTAAATATTAATGTTCTTATAACTTCTTAAGGTGACATACAGTGACATATGAAAGTACCATAATATTACCTTCTGATAAGGGTAATCATACATGCATATGCATTACTTGATTTTCATATATATAAAAAAAATAAATAAATAAGTGTATTTTTTAGGTAACACTTTACTTGAAGGGGTGTGCATAAGACTGACATGACACCTTCATAATCATGACATGACACGTGTCATGAATATGAAGGTTTTTTATGCATGTTTATGACAACTGTCATTAAGTGTCATTCGCTCAGTTATGTCATTTTTAATGCAAATATGACATTATTTGACCTAACCCTAACCTAACCCTACCCCTAACCATAGCCCATAACAGACATCTCAGACAATGTCATCTTTGCATTAAAAATTACATAACTGAGCGAATGACACTTAATAACAGTTGTCATAAACATGCATAAAAAACCTTCATATTCATGACATGTGTCATGTCATGATTATGAAGGTGTCATGTCAGTCTTATGCACACCCCTTCAAGTAAAGTGTAACCATTTATTATAATAATAATAATTATTATATTTTTTCTGGGACCCAAGGTTACAGAGCTTGATAAACAGAAGACACAACATTGAGGCAATTCATTAGAACAAACGGGATAATGAAACAAATACAAGTGTGAGAAAAAAGTAATCATTAACTGGATAATTATTAAAACAATAATAAAAAACAATAAATAATAATATTATTATTATTATATTTTTCTGGGACTCAACAAACAGGATAATTAAAAAAATACAATGTGAAAAAAAGTCATCATAAACTGGATAATCAATAAAATAATAATAAATAATGTAATTATTTTTTATTATGTTTTTTCATTATTTATTATTATATTTTTCTGGGACCCATTAGAACAAACAGGATAAACGTAATCATATAATAATTATCATTATTATATTTTTTCTGAGACTCAGTAGTACAGAGAGTATAACAAAAACAAATACAGTGCGAAAAAGTAATCATAAACTGGATAATCAATAAAAGAACAAAAACAACAACAATAATAATAAAAAAAATTTTTTCTGGGACCCATTAGAACAAACAGGGTAATGAAAACAAATACAGTGTGAGATAAAAAGTATAATTATAAACTGGATAATCAGAATAATTCAGTGTATCAGTAACAGTAGAATCACTGACCTGAGCTGAAAGTATAGCAGAGAAACCCGAGAAGCATGAGACATTATGTTAAATGTGGTGATCGTCTGGTTTTGTGTTAACAGAGAGCATTCACACACTCAGCTTGTTTCTAGAATCTCTTTGAGGCCTTTATGTTGAGGCCTGGTGTCACAGCTCACATCTCCTGCGTCCCACAGTTTCAGAGATGTCAGAGGACGAGATGAGAGAGAAAGCGCTGGCCTCCGCTAGAGCGACGCTGGGCGGTAAACCGGAGCTGGAGCGAGCGGCCGTCCTCCACCAGCACCTGGGCAGCCGCGTCATGAGCGACATGGTGATCGAGACCTTCCAGCCCAGCGCAGGTCTGCAGCGCAGTTACTCTCTTTGATTTGACAGCCGTTTGACCAGTGGGGAGTAAACAGACTGTTTTTTCCATCAGTAGTTGAGGACGGTAAAGAAGATCTGAAGTCCACAGATGACGGAAACGGAGAAGCTAAAGATCAAACGGATGTGAGTGGGACTCCAGACTCTCCCTCCAAACAGCTGCCGGATCAGATCTCCTTCTTCAGCGGAAACCCGTCAGTGGAGATCGTCCACGGCATCATGCACCTCTACAAAACAAAGTTAGTTCTATCTATCTATCTATCTGTCTATCTATCTATCTATCTATCTTCTATCTATCT